TCTGAGTCAGCACCACTAGAGGTTAAAGATTAAAGGACAGGTTCTGAGGCCTAAAGCAAGCACCATTAATGGGTAATATTCCTGGTTGACCGCCCCTTGAGAAAGCCATCTGGAATGACCCAGTTTAATTTTAGAACCACATGAGTAAACAAGTTAGGTAAACTCCCCAAATTCCTTTGTTTCTACTCTAGTTTATTTAACTAAGGGGACAAGGCTGCCTTCAGTCAAGAACTAAAGAAAGAAACTTTAGGCTTGCAAAAGGGTTTGAGACTATATTTTATAACCTTCTCTAATATTTTTCCCTTAATATTTTTGCCACCACCCTGGCTGAACTCTCACATCAGGGATTAATAAACATATGTAAATGAATGATTGATATCTTCTCTTACTTTCTGTTCGTGGGTCCTATCTTACTCATTCTCTCCTGGTCGTTCTTTCCCCCTGGATTCTGTTACAGTGTCCTCTTGGTTTTCCTATTGCTTTCCAGGGCATTTTCTATATTTCACTTGTTGGGTAATTTTTTCTCTGCCCATACATTAAATATCTGTCCTTTTTCTGAATTTTATTTTTTTTATTATGACTCTCTAGGTGTTTATGGTTCTCAATTCATGTTTCTAACCCCCGAAGTTACTTTGAATATATCCAATGATTATTTGACATCTCCATTTATATATTTTAACGCTTGCTTCAAAATTGCCATGGCCAAATCTTCTTGAAAGTTATTTGGCTCCTAGGTATTTCCTGTCTAGTGAAAGACACTGTATCCAAAACCCTGAAATTGAGTGATAAGCCTATAATAATCTCCTTTTTGGCTGAACCCTCCCCCTGGGACAACAATCATGAAGTCTTATAGGTTTCATTTTTTTCATTATATCTGATATCTGACTCTCGAATCAATTGCCTGCAAATAGGCCTTCTTCACCTCTCATGTGGGCTACTGAAGTAGGTTTTTGAGAGTCATCTGATTATAACCTTGTTCTTTTCAAATTCTTTCTATACCCATGGCTTGAATGGCCTTTCTAAAGCATAAGATGTAGTAATCCATCTCTAACTAAAACATTTCAGTGGCATCTATAGTGTGCTATATTAGAAAATTTAACACAGACTATATCTAAATGATAACCTAAATGGACTGAATCTTGTCACTAAAATATAGGGTGAGCCTTCTACACTTTTTTCCTGCTTTTCTTTTGACTCTCTCTTTGCTCTGTTGGCTTCATCCTTAGGCTAATTTTGTTTTGCTGAAGATGGGACAAGGAGGTTCCTTTTTCCAAAGAAGTGTAGTTTCAATCAATTCCTGTAACTGTGTAAAAAGACCCTTAGCTTCATGCTCAATGGACCTTCTTTAAACAAATCCCTCGTGTTCCTCCCTTACCCTCTACCATGGCAAGGAGACTGCGGGCCTCTACCTTTGAACTCAGAGTACAGTAAATCCCATATGAACATTTTTCAGTAAAATGATAAGAAAATCCCTGAGTTTCTGGAATGAAGTTAGTTATTCTTTATGGGTATGATGGAACAGTGGGCAAATTATTTCACCACTTTGCTTTAGATGAAGAAATTGTTCTAATTTATACAGTTGGGGAGCTGGGAACATACAATGATAGTTCTTAATATATAGAACTAAAAAGACTGCTTAAGTAGGCAATTCCTTCAGTGACTCTGCCTAAGTGACTTGGACATGTGAGCAATTGAATGTTTTAAACTCTGTAAAAAATGTATAAATAGAGATGATTAATAGGTATCTATCCTGCCTCAAATGCTTAAAAAAATAGCATTAGTTACCACATTTAACACTTATTTTTCTATTTGAAAACAGTGTTTCTTGTGCTGGTCAGACAATTTCCATGTAGGGGGTATAATTCAAATCATCATTTCTGCACCAAGTCCACTTTCCTTAACAATTCAAAGGCTCACTCCTACCACAAGCTATTAAAGTAGGAAATAAAACAGGGATTAGCTCATTGGGATCTGGAAAGGATTTTGTTTGCCACAGCCTCTCAAATTCCACACTCATGGCAATTAGATGTTTTGTTTTAGGAAATGTGATTATCTGCTTGTGAATAAATCTGAATAACAAATAAGTAAACAATGTGATAATAGGCTCAAATGAAATAGTACACAATGCCCATCTCTTTTTCCCCTAGAAGCTCTAACATAGCTCCTAGAAATTAATTTCACTCTTTGGCTGTGTATCTGAAGAGAACTTCCAGAGTATACTTCATGCTTGGTGGAAACAATATGTGAAAATCTACATATGGAGCCTGAGCTGGCAATGAGCTGACTCCGTTCACTTCACTGACAGGGACCTAACACCTTTCAGAATCTCATGGAATGCTTATGTCTTAGAGCTTGAGATGGAGCAGGGACTCTCTTATGGGCCTGCCAGGTATCCCCCGACCAGGCACAGAAATAAAGATCTCGAGTTCCTCCAAGAGAAATTGCAGGAACCTAGCTAGCCCTAGGAAGTAAATGAGCAACTTGATAAGCAAGGAAGTAACAGTAGCTTAAAACAATATCCAAGGAAGTTAGAGTTACGAAATGTTTTGTTCTCTACAAAAACTGAAGACAACATCTTAACACATTTTCTTGAGTTGTTTTTTAGAAACCCAGACCCTGACCAAATTGATCCACTGGCAGGGAGAGACCTCAAATAAGGAGGAAGGGAGGACTAAACTCTGACCACCATTCTTTGTTATAAATTTCTTCCTAAGGGACCTGAAGGAAGCACACCCACCCACAAGCCAGAACAATTCTGCTGATCTCAAATTTTAGACAAAGCATCACCTCTTTCACCAATCACAAATCAGAAAATCTTTGAACCTACCTATGAACTGTGCCCCTCTACCCCTTGAAGATGTCCTGACTTTTCAGGTCAAACCAGTGTATAGCGTCCACTTCTTGATTTATAATTTTGCCTGTAAACTCTGTATCTCTGCCTTTTAAAATCTCCACATGAAAGCCATTTGGGAGGTTGGGACTTAAGCATTAGCTGCCTGATCCTTCTTGTTTGATGGCCTGAAAAAAAAAGGACTTCGTTTCTCCCACTGCAAACCCCAGTGTGGATACCTGGTTTTAGTGTATTGGGCAAACAGACTCCTGTTCAGTTTGATACAAACTTTGTCATCAAGAATCCCATTGCCTCCTGTATATTTATAAAAATATCAAGTTTAACATTTGATAATAATTTATAATAGGGATTATTTCTATAAGTAATTGTAACAATGTAAAAAATCTTATCAAAGATACAGTCTTTTACCTAACATAAACATAAATAAACTCCCAGTTATTTATCAGATTAAAAAAATAGAATTTGACAAACTATTTTTCTAACTTCATTTTAACAGTAAGAGAATTGTGTTTCTCAGATTTTGGAAGGGGTTGTTACATTTCTGTAGCTTTGAATCTAAAGATAATGAGGGCTAAATCAGTACTATAACACATTATAATTTTTAATGATAATCCTGGTTTACCAACAAATAGTTAAATGTATTCTGAATAAGAAAGCAAGAACATAAGCAATGTATTTTTAAAAGACAACACTCACAAATATTTTAAAATATAATAAATTTCAAAGCTTTTAAAGGTACTTCAGTAATCTCTTACACAGTATTCAAAAAGACATTTATTCTCTTAGAAATAGCAGTGGTCTAGTAATGATCATTTAGTTCAAACCCCTGAGTTTTTTTAGATTGAGGAATTTAGTAACATGGTTACTTAACCTTACACTGATAAAGGGTTTTGAATGCTCAATTACGTCTAGGATTGTAGATTCCGAAGTACAAGTTATTTTCAGTACATAAGGTAGTATAGGTAAGATTCTCCTTTTTATCACATCTTAAGAATACTTACAAACTTAAAGTCTTAACTAATATATGAGCAAAGAAAAATAATGAAAAAACTTACAATCGTATCAAAATTTTAAGTAAAGCCCAAAAAATAAACTTATAAGAGCTTTTATTATATGTCAGGATGTATGACAGATACATTTGTTTCACTTGTCAGTTTCAGTATCATTATCCACATTTTCAGAGGTGTAAAAAACCCTCTAACACTGAAGGGTTCTAATTTTTCCAAGGTCATTCCTTTCTCATGTGGCATACCTGAAATCTGTACCCATGTCTTTCAGATATACTCTCTGTGATTGCCAAGACCATATTCATGACAATCAGGTCACACTGACTAGTTATGAAAATATGAACAATCCATCAGACATTAATTTCACAAATTTGTACCACTTTTTCTAAGTGAATGACTTCCATTGTAGGTAAAAACTTCCCATATAATACTTGTGAATAATGAATTAGTTATCCCTCCAGGAAACTCCCCTAAGGAATTGAGAGTGCCATTTTGAATAGATTTCCACAGCTATCGCTTACAGGTTAAATCAATTAAATATTGAGTTCCCTTAAACACTTGACGGCTTCATAACCACTCCTAAGTTCCGAATCACCCATAGTTTCAGGAGGAATTAAAGTTAATAATGGTATAAAAGTACCAACCCCAGAGTGGATATAGATTTTTGAAAAGAAAGTGATGTTTACAATTTCAGGAATCCCCTATGTGGGGCTTATATTTGTCCAGAGACACTGACAATGTCCCTTACAGAGTGTCCCCACCATCTGCTCTAGTTCCTACTTCATTCTGAATAGCTGAGTCTAATTCTTGTTCTTGGAGAAACTGCTTGAGGCAATTTGGCCATTTTTTCTGGTTCTCCGAGACCACCATCTGCTCCATGGAGCAACAGAGATACAGCTACAAGCATGGGCATGGGAAAGATAACCCCAACTATTGACAAATATTGTATGAGGGAGCTGTGGGAGATGGAGCCTTCCTCTGCTATTTCCAATTGGTATGGGTAAGAAGAATGGTGATCAAATCATCTTCAGAAGCCTCTCAGGAGAACAGAAAACTGACCAGTGTGGAGTTAAAACAGAGCATTTTCTTTCACAAGGAAGCTCACAGGGCAATTCTGAAAGGCAAAATATCGTTCAAAACTCATGCTCACTTTGGCAGCACATATACTAAAACTGGAACATACTGATAAAATTAACATGGCTCCTGTGCAAGGATGACACACACATGCAGAAAGCATTCCACATTTTCACTACGACAGGATCAAATCTGCACATATCAATATTAACCTTGAAAGTAGATGGGCTACATGCCCAAATTAAAGGGCACAGAGTGGCAAGCTGGATAAAAAAGCAAGACCCAATGGTATGCTGTTTTTAAGAAACCATCTCATATATAATGACACTCACAAGCTCACAGTAAAGAGATGGAGGAAAATCTACCAAGCAATTTGAAAATGCAACAAAGCAGGAGATGCTATTCCAATTTCAGGAAAAACAGATTTTGAACCAACAAACATAAAAAAGACACAGATGGGCATTGCTTAATAGTAAAGGGTTCAATTCAGCAAGATAACCTAACTATGGTAATCACATAGGCCCTTAACCCAGGAAACCCAAGTTCGAAAACCAAGTTTCTAGAGACCTACAAAGAGATTTAGATTTCCAAACTCAGCACCCACTGACATTATTAGACAGATCCTCAAGGCAGAAAACTAACAAAGATATTTGGGACCTGAACTCTGTACTTGACCAAACGGGCCTAACAGACACCTATACAACTCTCCACCCAGAAACAACAGAATATACATTATTCTCATCTGCATATGACACATACTGTAACATCAGCCTAACAATCAGCCATAAAGAATGTTCAGCAAAATAATAATGAAAAAACCTAAAATTGTACCAACCACACTCTTGAACCACAGAACAATATAAATATAAACCAATACTAAGAAAATCACTCAAATCCATACAATTGCATGGAAATTAAACAACTCACTCCTGAATGGTCTTTAGGTAAAAAATGAAATTAAGGCAGAAATCAAGAAATTCTTTGAAACTAATGAGAGCAAAGATATAATACACCAGAATCTCTGGAATATCACTAAGGAGTGTTAAGGGGGAAATTTGTAACACTAAATATTCACATCAAAAAGTCAGAAAGATATCAAATTAAAAACTTGGCATCATACCTACAGGAACTAGAGAAACAAAACCAAAGCAATCCCAAAGTGAGTGGAAGACAAGAAATGACAAAAATTAGAGTGGAACTTTAGGTAATTGAGACACACAAAAAAAAACCATACAAAGGATTAACAAATCCAGGGGGTGGTTCTTTGAAAAAAATAATAAGATAGAGAGACAGATAGCTAGACTAATGAAGAAAAAAAAAAGAGAGAAAAAATACAAATAAACACAATAAAAATTGACAAAGGGAACATTACCACTGACTGCACAGAAATAGAAGAAACATTCAGAGACTACTATAAAAACCTTTATGCACACAAGTTAGAAGACCTAGTAGAAATGGATAAATTTTTGATACATACAAACTCTGAAGATTGAGCCAGGAGGAAATTGAGTCCCTGAACAGACCAATAATGAGTTCCAAAATTAAAAATGTAACAAAAAGTCTACTATCCAGAAAAAGCCCAATATCAGGCAGATTCACAGCCTAATTCTATCAGATGTATAAAGAACTCCTGGCAACATCCCTACTGAATCTATTCAAAGAATTTGAGGAGGAGGGACTATTCTCTAACTCATTCTATGAGACCAGCATCATCTTAATACCAAAACCTGGCAGAGAAACCTCAACAACCAAAAACCCTTAGGCCAATATCTTTGATGAATGTAGATGCAAAAATCCTCATCAAAATACTAGCAAACCAAATCCAGGAGCACAGCAAAAAGCTAATCCACCACGGTCAAGTAAGCTTTATTCTTGAGATGCAAGATTGGTTAAACACATGCAAATCAATAAATGTGATTCATTACATAAACAGAACTAAAAACAAAAACCACATGATTATCTCAATAGATGCACAAAAGGTTATTAATAAAATTTTACATTCATTCATATTAGAAACCCTCAACAAAATAGTCATTGAAGGGGCATACTTCAAAAATAGTAAGCCATCTCTTACAAACCCACGGCCAACATTATACCAAATGGAGGAGAGCTGGAAGCATTCCCCTTGAAAACTGGCACAAGACACGAATGCCCTTTCTCACCATTACTAGTCAACATAGTACTGGACATCCCGGCCAGAGTAATCAGGCAAGAGAAAAGAAATAAAGGCATATAAAAAGGAAGACAAGAAGCCATAGTAACCCTGTTTACAGGTGATATGATTCTATATCTAAAAAACCCCACAGCCTCTGCCCCAAAGCCTTCTGAACTAATAAACAACTTTATTAAAGTTTCAGGATACAAAATAAATGTACAAAAATCAGTAGCATTTCTATACATCAACAACATTCCAGCTGAAAGCCAAATCAAGAATGCAATCCCATTCACATTAGCCACAAAAAGAGTAAAATATCTAGAAATACACCTAATCAGGGAGGTGAAAGAGCTCTACAATAGGGATTATAAAACACTGCTCAAAGAAATCAGAGATGAGAGAAGTGCAAAAATATTTCACGTTCAAACATAGGAAGAGTCAATATTGCTAAAATTGCCATACTGCTTAAAGCAATGTACAGATTTAATGATTGAGTTAAACTATTAAACTCCTATTAAACTACCAGTGACTATGTGTTAGTCTGTTTACACACTGCTGATAACGACATACATGAGACTGAGAAGAAAAAGAGGTTTAATTGGATTTACAATTCCACATGGCTGGAGAGGTCTCAGAATCATGGTGGGAGGTGAAAGGCACTTCTTATGTGGCAGCAGTAAGAGAATATGAGGAAGAAGCAAAAGCAGAAATCCCTGATAAACCCATCAGATCTCATGAGACTTATTCACTATCACAAGAATAGCATGGGAAAGACTGGCCCTTATGAGTCAATGATCTCTCCCTGGGTTTCTCCCAAAACGTGAGAATTCTGGGCGACACAATTCAAATTGAGATTTGGATAAATTACAGCAGCATAATTCCAGGTGGTTTCATCAGAGAATGTACACTTGGCTGGTGACACAGGCAAGCCACATCATTCCACTCCTGGCCCCTCCAAATCTCAGGTCCTCGCATTTTAAAACCAATCATTCTTTCCTAACAGTTTCCCACCAAAGTCATAACTCATTTCAGCATCAACCCAAAAGTCCACAGTCCAAAATCTCACCTGAGACGAGGCAAGTCTCTTCTACCTATGAGCCTGCAAAATCAAAAGCAAGCTAGTTAGTTCCTAGACACAATGGAAGCACAGGTATTGGGTAAATACAGCCACTCCAAATAGGAGAAATTGGCCAAAACCAAGGAGTTACAGGACCCATACAAGTCAAAAATCCAATCCAGCAAAGCAGTCAAAATTTAAAGCTCCAAGATGATCTCCTTTGACTCCAGGTCACATCTAGGTCATGCTGATGCCAAGAGGTGGGTTTCCATGTCTTGGGCAGCTCCACCCCTGTGGCTTTGCAGGGTACAGCCCCTCCTAGTGTTGAGTGTCTGCAACGTTTCCAGGTGCATGGTGCAAGCTGTCAGTGGATCTACCATTCTGGGATCTGGGGACAGTGGTCCTCTTCTCACAGCTCCACCAGGCAGGGCACCAGTAGGGACACTGTGTAGGGGCTTGAACCCATTTGCCTTCCACACTGCCCTAACAGAGATTCTCCATGAGGTCCCCACCCTGCCGCAAACTTTTGCCTAGGCATCCAGGTGTTTCCATACATCTTCTGAAATCTAGACGGAGGTTTCCAAACTTTAATTATTGATTCCTATGCACCTGCAGGCTCAATACCACCGATGAGTCATGAGGGGGCTTTTTGTGCCATGTGCTCAACAAAATATTCTTTATTTTTGTCAGTTAAAATTATGCAAATTCAACCAGAAAGTCCAGATGGCTGAACCAGAATTATGTTTGGGTCTCCCCTTTTGGCTTTGCTGCCACCCAGAGGATGTTCCAACCCAGCTAGCTTGGGGTTGCTGTTAAGGGAGGTAAGTAGCCTTGGTGTCAGAAATGGTCCAGGCTGAAATCTCAACTTTTCTAAGTAGGTCAGATTAACCTCCTCATCACTTTCATCGTGATTATTTGATGCCCCTTTAATTACCAAACTTTCTTACTCATATGAAGACCAGGAGGAGGTGCAGGAGATAGAATCAGTAATCTTTTCAGCTGACTTAAGACCTTTTCAATGCACAATAATATTAGTGCCTTGTGTGGTGGCTCAAGCCTGTAACCCCAGCACTTTTGGAGACTGAAGTGGGTGGATTGCTTGAGTTCAGGGGTTCAAGACTATTCTGGTAACATACTGAGAGCCTGTCTTAAAAAAAAATTTTTTTTTAATTAGATGGGCATGGTGGTGCACCTATAGTCCTCATTACCAGGGAGGCTGAGGTGGGAAGATTGCTTGAGCCCAGTAGGTAAAGGTTGCCATGAATTTTTTGTGACAATGAGCTTCAGCTCGTACAAGAACAAAACTTTCACTTTTTAATAATAATTGCTACTACTACTATTACTACTACTGCTAGATGGCTGGGGATGGCAGGCAGTATGGAAGGTCCATGAAGTGTTTCTTAGTGTATTATTGAGATTATTGGGAAGCTTTTGTGATAAAAGGAGCCCCAGTGTCAGACTGCAAATGGTCCAGAAAGCCAAACAAGTAATAGAGATTAATCTATGGACCCCAAGTGGTGAGACTGGAGTTAGCTGTCTGAATTGGGTCAGCATTATATAACCTCAAAATGCGCACAGCAATGAGGCACTATTAGCTTCCTTTATATAGGGTTAGGGGTCTAATGTAATATATGAATAAGAACTGGGCGGAGACAAAGTCCCACGCAATTTGTTTTCTTCTATCTTGGGATAATGGCCCAACTTTTGGCAAGAGTTCTAAGTCTGGCATGTGTTGGTTGGCCTCTGCATCAAGAACAGAACTCTTTCCTTTATGTTCAGCTTATGATCATGGATGTGCCATGAATTAGTAAGGTGGTGAATCCATGTAGTGATTGTGGCAACCTGGACAATGCGTTTTTGATCAGCAGTGTAATTCCAGCTGGTTTCATCAGAGAATGTGTACTTGGCATGGCCATCTACAAAACTGGCCATAATAGTTCATTCAGCAGCCTGAAATTGTTT